TGAAAAAGAGGAAGACACTCAACAAGATGGACTGCAACAATGGGCTCAAACATAGCAAACACTGTGAGGATGGAGCGAGACCAGGCAGCGTTTCAGTCCGCTGTATACAGGGTCACTAAGAGTTGAAACTGACTTGGTGGAACCCAACAACAACAACATGAACATACTTTCAAAAAACTTAGAGCCAAAAATCACTTAAAAAAACCTTTAGTGTGATGAAGATGTGGTACATGTAACCATTCACACTTTATGCATGTAAAGAAACTCAGTCATAGAGAGGCAAGTGACTTCTGCAAACCTAATGAATGCTAGATCTGCTAGGCTCCAGAATCCACATTGTTCCCACCAAACCCAAGCATGGCCTCTTCAGGGAGCATAGCTCTGTCATTAGAAACCACCCTACTGTGATTTCACTTACACAAAAGCCAGTGGTGGTAAATGAAGTTATGTTCTTGCTGTGTGCTGCTGAATTGATTACAACTCATAGTGACCCTGTGTCACAGAGTAAAATTTCCCCACAGGGTACCCTAGGCTATAAACCTTACAAGACAGATCTTCAGATCTTTTCTCCTGTAGAGTGGCTAGTGGATTTGCACCGCTGACCTTATGGTTAGCAGCCAAGAGCTTACCTATTGTGCCACCTCACCCCTATAGCAACATACATATTCATGCAATTTCATCACAGAATTTCAGAGAAACCATCCATGCACACATACTTCAAGTATATGACTATGCCTGGCATTAAATTCACATGAAAATAAGCAAAGCTGCCAAAAAATTTTTTTCACTAATACAAAAAATATTTCAAGAGAGCTTACACTTACTTAATAAAAATCCACTGGAAGCATTTACTGATAATGAAGGATAGGTGATCTAAGTGTAATTCATTCTTACTGAGTTATTAGAGGAGGGCAATGGCACAACAAATAGTAGCAAATTCTCAACCTAATTTAAATTGCCTTTCCTCATTTATTTTAACCTAGTTACAACTGAATTTCTTTAAAAGGTTAAGTAATCCTAACAATTATAGTGTAGGAGTTATGTTTTCTACCATATTCATAGAAGTACTCAATTTTAACTCTGTATAACCTTAACTCAATCAACAAATATCTGATCTTGAAGTAATTATTCCTAAATTTGCACTGGGTAGTAGTGTGCTATAAACATCTGCAATCTAGACTTCATTATTTGTGGATTCATGACCGAAGAGCCCTATGTTTATTAAAATTATCCATGGAGTGAAACAGAGACAATTTGGGGAGCAAAAATAACTTTCTAAGCACATTTCATACATTTTATATTCAAATAATATGCTAATTATAAAAAAATCTTATCATTAAAAACCAATGCTGTTTAATTTTAAAGTACTGAAAACTGTATCTTTCATCATACTCTGTAATTTCTCATTAATGTTTTTTAATTGACTTGGATATAACAACTTCTTTTTATATCTTTTTGATAGTGGTTCTCCAACTTTTTGGTCTCAAGACCCCTTTACATGCTTCAACATTACTGAGGACCCCAAAGAATCTTTGTTTATGTGGGTTATATCTATTTATATTTTCTTATGTATTAGGAATTTAAAGTGACACAATTTAAAAATATTTATTTAGTACTTCATTTAAAAATAACAATAGGCTCTTTACATCTTAATTAGACATATCTGCAATTATACACAGGAGCTCTGTTGGCGTAGTACCTAAGGCATCTGACTGCTAACCAGGAGGCTGGCGATTCAAACCCACCAGCCAGTCCATGGAAGATCGGGCAATCTATTTCCGTAGTGATACCACCTCAGAAATCCAAGGAGGGGTCGCTATGAGTCAGGTCCAACTCGATGGCAGTGAGTATAATCACATACACACACACACACACACACACACAAAATAGTGAGAAGAGTGGCACTGTTCCATATTTTGCTAATCTATTTAAGGTCTGGCTTAATGGAAAATAACTGAGTCCTCATGCCTAATTTTAGATTCAATTTGTTATGGTATGTGTTTTGGTTGACTATACAAAGAAAGTTAATTGTCTCACACAGATGTGTGACTGAGAAAAAGAAGACTATTTTAACAAGCTTTTCAAATAATTGTGGTCATTTTTCTTTGATACTATACCAAAACTCAACAAGTAATAGAGTTCCTTAAACATTCTTCACAATGAAGTCTAAAACCATATCAATGAACTTTTCACACTCTTTTTGCACATTTGTTACTATCACTATGGATCTCATCAGAAGTCTTTGAGTATTGGAAAGCTGTCACATTCACCAAGGTGAACACAAGTGTTCCAAAAGTATACTTTTCACTTGAAAGCCTGAATTTTCTCATTGGCAACAAACACTGTCAGATGGTTTCCTCGAAGTGAAGGAAAGTTTATCGAGCTAATTTTCAACATGTACTTGAGGCTCAAGATGTAATAAAATGTATAAAGTATATTCTTTTTGTAACTGTTTTTTTTTTAAAAAAACTGTTAAGTGCATACTAATAATGGGGCCTGTAGCCTTGATTCACACTAAGGTGTCAGCAGTTTTGTGCACTGCTTTTGTACCATCCTTGTACAAACAGCAGAGTCCAAGACACAGACAAGTCTCAGTGTCATAATGAAAATAGTTTTGACCTTGCTGACCCACTGAAAGGATCGTGAGGACCTCCATAGGGGTTCTTTGACCACACTTCAAGAAGTGCTGTGCTACCATGAAATAAAGGAGTAAACTGGCCCCTCAACTACAGTTCGAATCACTAGGTGATAGGCAACAATTTAGAAAGGGAAAGTGGCTGTTACTGCTTTCTCAGCTCGTCCTTTACTGATGTGTATTACTGACCCCAAGAATATTAATATAAGTAGAAGGCTACTTTCACATTCCTAATTTCAATATGGAAGCATGGAAAAGAAAATCTAGTTAGCACAGAACTTTTTTTAAAAAAAAACAAAACAAAACAAAACAAATAAGCTAAATAATATTTAACATTTCCCCAAGGAATTTAAAATACAAACTTTTCTTTAATCCATCCGTTTGTTCCCACGTCTGCTCATCTTTCTGTGTAGGACACTTGTGTGGTGTTAGGAATATGGAGAGTCTTAGATCTTTGTGACTGAGACTGACAGACCCTGTGGCTGAGGTCCACAGGGTGTTAATCTGTCAGGCAACACAGCAGAGGCACTAAAGCCTGACATCTGATTTCAAGTCCCCCAACATGCAAGTAAGAAGCTCTGGTGGCATTTGACTGGTAACCAAAAGGCTGGCGGTTTGAACCCACTAACTGCTCCATGGGATAAAGGTAAGGCAGTATGCTTCTGTAAAGATTTACAGCCTTGGAAACTCTATGGGGCAGTTTCCTATAAGGCTGCTATGAGTTTGAATTGATTCGATGGCAGTGGCTTTAACCTACAAGTAGCCTGTAGGTTTTACAGTCTTTATATCTCTGAATATAAAGAAAAACTCTGTAACCTCCAAGTCTCTATTTCCTTAGTTGGAAAAGCAGGGGATTCCACTGCACACCGTGCAGCCTCAGGAGGTAGAGTATTTAACACAGTTCCAGGCACACAGTAGGCATTCAACAAATGATGCTATTGTAAAGTCCCCTGGATGGATGCAGACGCACATCTAAATAATCACAATACAGCATGGGAATGGATTTACAACAAAATATCATGGGAATAAAAGAAAAACCAGTGGTCTAAGATCAGGTGAGAAAGGTGCTATAACAGAATTGCCACCTGCTTCAAAGGAAGAGAAGAAGCTGGCCAACAGGTAGAGGAAGACAAAGAAAAAGAAGAAGAAGAAAAAAACCCAGATCTACACAAAGATACAGCAGGATGGACGGGTGGGGCAAAGAGGGTTCGGCAGAACCCGAGGCAAAAACAGTGGAACCAGGTCATTTGAGGCCTCTCACACCACCTTGTTGTTGTTGTGTGCCATCGAGTCAGACCTGACTCATAGCGACCACTCCTTGGGTTTCCAAGGTGGTATCACTATGAAAGTAGATTGCCCAACCTTCCTTTCGAGGACTGGCTGGTGGGTTTGAACCGCCAGCCTTCTGGTTAGCAGTCAAGTGCCTTAGGCACTACGCTATCAGAGTTCCCATGCTAAGGGGTACAAAACAATTAAAATACTTTTCTTTCGATTCTTGTAAAGACTGAGAAACTGTGAACTCTCAGTGCTGGCAGGTCCTTGTTCTCCCACTGCCCTGTACTCCCCCCCCATTCTCTCTCTCTCACACACATGCACGTTTGTTGTTGTTGTTGTTGTTGTTTGCTGTCGAGTTGGCCCTGACTTATAGCAACCCCTCCTTGGGTTTCCGAGGCAGTATCACTACGGAAGTAGGATTGCCCAACCTTCTTTCCGAGGAGTGGCTGGTGGGTTTGAACTGCCAGCCTTCTGGTGATCAGACCCACATGCACGTTACGCCTTCTCTAATGTTCCTGATGAGCGATCCTTTGGCGCCTGAGCTTGAACAACAGCAGGAACAGCACAGCTCTTCCCAGAGGCTGAGAAACAGCCAGGCTCCAGCAGCAACGGGGATTCGCCTTTATGGGTGCAAAACAGCAGTGAGGTGCCTGTGGGCCAAAACCATTTCACACCCTCTCTGAGACACACAAAATACTGATACATACAACTTTGTCTTCATTCTAGCTCCTTCTTTGCCTCGGATTCTATGTTCCAGTAGAATTTATAGGTCACTTCGCTTAACGGAGAGGGAAGAAACAGAAAAGGGGATAGTGGCCTATTAGCCCTTGTGATTTCAGCCATGTACGAGGCCTCTTGCCATGGCATGATGAGCCCTGAAGCCCAAAGAGGTGGCCTTCTTTCTTGCCCTTTGGCAGAGACAGAAGTTGCCTCCCCATGGCAAAGGTGCGAGTCTGTGATTCCTCAGTGATTCTGCAGATGTACATGAAGGTACAACTGGCTTACACCCATAGCCTGGTGTGCTGTGCTTGTGTACAGAACACAACCATTTAGATAAAAACCACGAAAATCATAGCAATGTCTTACTCACCCAGAATTTTACGAGGAAGAAGGCATTTTGAGGGCCTTTTCCAAACAGTTCCTTTAAGCCACCTTTCTTTTCAGGAAATTTGTCATAAATCTGACGAATGTCCACTGATTCAAGCAATGGGTCACTATAAGAATGGTTGGCGTGCCCAATGTGCACGAAGAGGTGTTTGTTGTACTGTAAGAAATCAACAGAAACAATTCAGTTATAAACCCTTTGATCAATCTGGGACTCACTCATCTTGAACTGGATAAAGAGCAGTGATCTCGGTATTCCAGAATTACCTAGGCCGTGGACAGTTAAGGTCTATGCCTTTTAAAAGAAGATGTCAAGATAAGTCATTAAAGCTCAGGGTTAAAACAATCATTGTCTTTACACAAGGGTATATAGTTTTCCAAATGCCTACAAAGGGTTTTTTTTGTTTGATTTTTGTTTTTGCCAAGATACTAATAAAGAGCTGCTGCTTCAGTCATCCAACTAATAAACCAATAAAGAATTCGGCCATCCAGTTTTGCATGACTCGACTGAAAAGACAGCAACGCCCTCCAGAGGTCGTTATTTATAATAAGCCCTATAAGAAATATGTACGTAGAGTTATCGACTCATCCCCAGAATGCACCTCTTGCCCCAGCTTCCCTAATAACACTGTAGAGGCCAAGCTCTGAGCAACGATACCCACGAGCCTTTCTCACCAGTTCCCTTAGTGACCAATATAAAACTTCTGAATAATGTCTGGCCAGTATGTGACAGTCAGCACACAGGGTAAGGGATACAGCTCACAGACAGGCTCTATAAGGCTATGTGTCGCCAGAAAAACGAATACAGGTGACTTGCTCAGAAAACAAACTAACTAACAACAAAAATAAATTCTAAAACACTGTTAAGTCATTTAACCTACAAAGGAAACCCTACCTGCCCCTCACATTGGTTTAAGTCATAACTGGAGGACAAAGGCGTGTGGTCCAAACCAGTGGTTCATCAACCTAGCCTGCATCCAAATCACCCACGGAACATCTAAAATTCACCAGAACTTGGCTCCACTGAGACTAATAAAGGTTTCATTGAAAAGATTAATGTGACACCATTTGAGAAAATTTACCGAAAGAGCTGTGCCTCCCATAACCTCACCTCCCTCCCTAGCCCAAAGATGGCTTTGACTTTTCTAATTCTCTTCAGGTACAGGCACACTCTGTTCTGAGAGTGGTCAGGCATCAGTATTTTTTAAAGCTCAGCAGGTGAATCCCAGCATGAAGCTAAGTTTAAGAACCACTGGTCGAGAGACACTTCAGACCCTCCATAACTGCCTCTCTTGCTGAAGAGGCAGTAACGTCAACTCAATACAACACAGACAAAGATGTCTGGGGGTCAGGGGTTCCTTGGAACTCATCAGGGTTCTTAAAAGAAACACACCTCCCTTCTTCACCTAGCATTCCCTATTCACTTTCCAAGTTTAAATCAGCATTTCTCCAACTGCTACCCTTCTTTAGAGTACTAATCCCATAGGATGTCCTGTTCAAAAAACCTAAAAGACCTGGCCAAAACTGCCTACCAGGAGGAGGACGGGCTCTAGACTCAGCCTACTCAAGCACAAAACTTTGTGCCCACAGCAAATTAGCTGTTGACTACTGTCTCTTAAAATGCGAAAAGTGAAGACATCTACTTTGTAAGGTTGAAATGAGATACTGCATGCAAAGAGCATACTAGAGATGCTAACCAACAGTAAGCATGCAAAAAATGCTAGCTATTATTGCTATTTTTCTACAACCTCCCCTTCTTAAGATTGACAGTGAGTATTAACATACTGAAAGTACTACAGTATTACCAAAAAAAAAGTTTTTAACTTTGTATGATCCAAAGTTTCCCAAACTCATTTGGTCACAAAACTCAATCAATGCATCGTGTGGGAGTACTAGTTTAAATCCATGACCTGACACCCATGTGGTGGATTTCTGGTTTGATACTGAAGGGTGGGAGCTAACATCTGCCATCAGTTGCCCACAGTGCTGCACATGAGGGATAGGTGACCAAGCCTCTCTCTTGTTCTGCAGCAGAGCGATACATTCATCAGTGCTTCAAAACCCTCACAGGTTATCAAGTATAATGAAAAATAGGAACCTGCCAAACATACACATGAACGTAGCTGCTGTAGTAACTGCCTGGTGGATATCAGGTAAGACTGAGAACTGGCAAATGACTGCATAAGAACAGAGTGTGCTTGCACCTGAAGAGAATGAGAAGAGTAAAAGCTATCATTGTGCTAGGGAGGTGAGGTTATGGGAGGCCCGGCTCTTTTGGTAAATTTTCTCAAATGGTGTCACATCTTTTCAGTGATAAGCAAACAAAGCCCACAGAAATGCATGAGTCACAGTCCCCACTGAGAAAGCACTTCTAGTCTCATTATTGGGAAAGGAGGGAAAAAAAAAAAATAACAAGCATAGTTGAAGGCACCTACACGGTATAAAAGACAATCAGAGATGAAAAGAGGAATGTGGAGGACATGCCTCTGCCTCTCTTCATTCTCTGGTTACACCCATTATGGAATCAGAGGGGAAAAGGCATTGCTCCTTCATTATCCAGTCACTGGGCCATCTGCCTGTCTATCCCTCCAATCCTCATTAATAACCTCTGCTTGCAGCTGCACCCAGCCCTACTCCACTCTGGAGGTACCATTTCTGTTACTTCTCGTGCCTGCTATAGGCAGGGAACTTATGGGAAAGAAAGGAACACAAGCAGAGCCTTGGGGATACCTGTGGCTCAAATCTGAGTTTCCCATTTGAACTTCAGACTCTCAGCTCTTGTGCTTTGCCCTTCTGCAAGGCTGAGCTGGGGTACAGTGAAAAACCTAAGAGATTTGGAGTCACTGTTTGCCTTGACATCAAAAGGTCATGGGGCCCATGGCCCAGACCTTGACACATCAAGAGGTCAAGGAGGTGAGTAGAAGGTAAAATGAACCTTATGTCAATGGAAATCATGAAGGCAAGGCCAAGATACAAGGTACTGAGTGCAAAGCATCCATACTGAAGACATACCTGGAACCTGTTTGCCTGTATGTAAAATGGGCATATTATGCCTGAAAAGCATAACTGTTTTAAAGATTAAAGGAAATAATGGACAGAAAGTGCTTGTTATAGGGCCAGGCATGTAAGAATGTTTAATATGTCATGGCTGCTAGGATTATTATTGTTAAGGGTTTATCTTCAGGTGAGATTAACTAGATCCCGGGGCAGAAGTAAAAGAGCTTTCTTCCTTTAGGTATCCCTCCTGCCTAGCCAAGGACAATACAAACACAAAGAAGCTAAGAGCTGGGAGCAAGTAGTTGTGAAGCCACATGACTGCTCAAATCCTTGATTAATGAATGCCCACTCCTTACAAGCTTCTCTGCCTGTGGGGCCTCTCCCCTGGGCTGAAGGAAGGGAAAGGGCTCTTGTCCACCCAGTGCTAACTACAGCTTCATGCTTCTTAAATAGGTGATCTCAGGCAACCCAGGCCTCACAGTATGCTGAGATGGGCTTTATTAGAATTGTTTTACAGATATGGCAACAGTAGCTTAGAGGTAACTACTTGCTTTAGGTCACACATCCTAGAAGAGCGCTGTAGTAGAGACTAAAGCTTGGTACCTGTCAACGCCACAGCCCAGGAGTTTGCTGTGAACATTCATCACAGTGTCTCCCAAAAGAAAATGCCCTGGCTCCTCAAACTCTGCTAGATTTACTTCTTCTGAGAGAAAGTCCAGCTAAAATTGAAAAACTAAATAGTGTTTTCGAAGTTCTAAGAAATTACATTAGAATTCAGGACAAACAGTGATTCACAGATGCATCGGCAGAGGCCACAAAGGTTTCTATTTTGAGGAAGTGACCTTTGTTCACAAGTGGCTGAAGTGAACTGAGCGAGGGCAGCCTGTCTTTGCCAAAGGAAATCGGGCACTGCTTCTCCAAGGCTGGTGACTTGAAACCAAACCCTGACTGTTGGCATCTGAGAGGCTTTAATTCCTGCCAAGAGATTACTTTGTTTCTAAGAATACAAAGAACTAAAGAAGGTATCCTGGAGACTACAGCTTTGCTACAAACAGTCTCTCCCTCTCCCCTTAATTCAACCTGGGTAGGTCAGGAATCCCTCTGCCCTCAAACCTAGAAAAGAAGAAATCTACCTGGTAAGTTTAAATTCAAGTTGTAATGAAATTAAAACCTGTTTGTTTAGGCTCTCTACCTGCCATTCTGTTAGTTCTCATAAGGGAAGAAGCGTAGGGTGGATTTTTTTTTTTTTTTAAATCTCCCCTTCCTCCTTCCCATTAAGTCCCATTTTCTTTCCAGCAGTGCAGGTTTCTCTAAAACTAAAGGCCGCACAAAGCAAGGGAATAGGGATGGGGGGACACACTTTAGTTTACAGGGGAGAAAAAAACAAATCCTCTCAAAAGAAACAAGTATTGGGGGCAATATATGAACAGGAACGGCAAATTACCATGAATTACATATAGAAAAGCCCAAACTAGATTTCCTCGATATCAAAAAACAGAGTCCTACTGTTGTTCGTCTATTCAATTATAAAACCAGTCCCCCTGACACTCATTAGACACACAACTGATCATCAGTAAATTAATGGCAACAACAGAAAAGGTACTTACTCTGCGTATTTCTTTTATGGGTTCTAGTAGAACAAACCAGCACATTTATCATTATGTGCCAGGCACTGTGCTAGGCAGAGGGAATCCATGGGCTAACAAGGCAAAGTCCCTGTCTCTGAGGAACTTTCTAGTCTCCTAAACTGCAAAAAAATAAATTTCTGTTCGTTAAAGCCACCCACTTATGGTATTTTTGTTACAGCAGCGCTAGATAATTAAGACAGACATCTACAAATTGAATTAAAGAAAGTGGCAATGAGATATACCTAACGGGAAAAAAAGTTACACCATTAAGAGTCTTAATAGATTTATTAACCATGCTGTGTACAAAATTTACACAGGTTGGTGATATAAACACTAAATATTAATTAAACCAAAAATTGTGATAAAACCATATCAGGGGATTGGAAGAAGTTGAGAGGGTGTTATGCTAGGTCCTAATAGTCCACAGCAAGCAGTAAACAGAAAATATCTAAAACCGAGAGATTACGATGTATAGTAGATGCATGTTCTTTAGAAATAGGGAGATGAACACACAAAGAAATAGCTGGAAGGGCTG